GACTTCCAGGAAATTCCTGAACCCCTGAACTGATCTGGGTGATTTTTGGATATGTTGTTCAACCAGATCAGGAGATGTGACTTTTTTGTGTGTTTTTAAGGTACTTTTTGGGATTTCATAAAATTGTATGTTTTTTTTCTGTGCTTGGAGATATTTGGGTTAGATTAGTACAGTTCCTGATCCAATTATCTCCCAAGCACAGAGGAGGGATTCTATTGTTTGTGTATGGGAGTGTCTCACTGTATGACTGTTTTAATTGGTTTGTTCACTTTGTGTCCCTGTGCCCAACAAGATCCACCTGGATGTCGCCCTTGTTGGGAAACTTGCATAAAAGGCCAGTGTCCCTCCATTAAAATCTATTCCAGCTTACACTCCAAAACTGTGTGTCATCCTGTTATTGGAGGGAAAGAATATTTACTCCTGTGTCTGCTGTTCCAGCTTGCAGGGGATTCAATGGGGAAGTCCTTGTAAGGACTAGAGCTAATTCCCCATTTGGCTACAGGGAGCAGTTCTAGGGCCCCAGTCAAGCCATGGCGACTGTGGGCAGACATTCTGCATTTTTTCATTTGTTCCAGCTAGGAAGCAGTCCTTGGCGGAGTTACCCAGCCAGGGGTGCAGGGGGCTCCGTTACGATCGGTTTTGGCATATATTAGGATGCGCACAAGAATGGCCGGATCTTTGGACACAGGAAGGCTTAACCAAAAATTTAACTTTGTTGGAATTATTTCCAATTGTAGCCGCAATATATTTATTTGGAGACGCATGTAAAAATAGGCGACAATCTAAGTGTAGTGAGGTAATTCATTCTTTACAGTCTAGGTGTAATAGGGTTATCAGTCTACTTGGACATTTAGTATTAAGGTGTTTTCAGTTGAATATTTGGGTGAAAGCTAGGCATATACCAGGCAAAATGAATAGGCTGGCTGATGCTCTTTCGCGATTACAATTGCAGGAATTTCAAAAATTGGCACCAAGAGCAGCTGCAGATGGAACCCGGTTTCCGTCAGACCTCAAGGATTTGATTGCGGACAGTTAAGTGATATGCTGATGAACTCGGTAGCAGCTTCAACATGAAGTGCATATGTTAGGGCATGAACGAGTGGTTCAGTTTTAATAAGTTAAATAAAAAAGATCCGTTTGGAGAGGATAAAAGGAGTGCAATACAATTTACATTGGTTTCAATGCAGAAGGGTTTTCTAAGTCTAAGTTAGCTTGTAGTTTCGCCGGGGTGGATTTCTTTAGGAAGCTGTGTGATTGTAAGCCAATCAAACAGTATTTCATAGTAAATAAGTTAGTTCAAGGTTATAGAAGAGCTAGTAGATAATAGGAAACCGATATCGTTTGCAGTTCTCTCACAGCTATTTGCAGTTTTGGAAGAGGTATGCTATTCTGCGTATGAGGTAGTTTTGCTTAGATGTTAGTATATAATAGCATTTTTCGCACCTTTAAGAATTAGTGAGTTAGTGGCTAAGAGTAAATTTTGTTTATCAGCATTACAATGGGAGGATATTATAGTGAGCGATAGGAAATAAAAAAACAGATCAAAAAGGCAAAGGGAGATGGTTAACATTGCTGGAGATTCAAGGTTATTTGTGTCCAGTTAAAGATTACTTGTCAATAAGACCAAGGGTTAAAGGCCCATTTTTTTTATGCATCGTGACGCCATTCCTTTGACTGAGTTTCAATTTACAAAGGTCTTCAATGTATGCATGGATAGGTTAAAGTTAGGCGATGAGCGTTATTCATTTCATTCATTTAGAATTGGAGCGGCAACAGAAGCAGCAAGGTTTTGATTAAGTGATGGAATAATTTAAAGGTTGGGAACATGGGATTCTAATAGATTTCAATTATACGTTAGGCCTCATTTGATAAAAAAATAAAAAAATAAATTAATAATAATTGTTTATCTGCTCAATGTTGTTAAAGTTTATTGATGACTATGAATATTGGTGTATATATAAATAATATTCTTTTGTTAGGAAATACGAAGCTGGTAATTGCCTGGGTAATTGGGCTTTCGTTTATATTTTGGGCCCAGAAGAGGGCGAAAGAACGGTCATATGGCGAAAATCTTGCATTGGAAAGCGCTGCTGTTAAAGTTTTTTGCAAAAAGGAATTCGTGGGGCCAAGTGGTCTCAATTATTTGAGATAATACAGCAATGTATGTTAAGCTTTCCTTATGCAGAGGTGATAATATTTAATTTGGGAGGTAATGATATCGGTTCAACAAAAAAGGTCAATTTGATGCAGGAGATCAAAAAAGATTTGGTTTTCATAACACAGATATTTCCAGACATTTGGAAATTACTCTAAGGCACTGCTGGTTTAAAGTAAGTTTTTTAAAACCATTGGAAAGGGTACAAAGAAAAGTAAATAGAGCATTGGAAAATGTTTTACCAACCTTGGGTATGACTTCGTATAGTCAAAGGGACATTGAGGGCAGTTGCGCTGGCTTTTACAGGAGCGATGCAGCCCATTTGTCGGCTATTGGGTTAGATATATTTAATTTGGAGATTCAATCTATGTCGGAGATGGCTGTGGGCTTTGGGGGGGCCACCGAGTTTGGTAGCCCAGAACCTCGGTGGCGTTGGGATATAAGTCGCCATCCTGGTTGTCACAGGAGGGTGGATTTGGTTTAAGATATATTTATGGCTCCTTGCTTTGAAGGGGGTGGAGCCTTGGAAAGTGGTTATGGTTAATATGTTGGTTAGGTTTAAAGTTATGGTTTATCATTATTTGAGTGGTTATTGTTTAATTGGAATTATGAAATCCGTAATAAAGGTTCACGGCCATTCTCCAAGGTGTATTATTAAAGTTATTAAATAAAATATTTTGATGAAGAACTTTACTTGTGTTTATTTATTTTATGTATCACGTTGATTGCAACATTCAAACCTCATGGTTTAAAAAGCTGAAGTCTCACAGTGACTCACTGATAGCCCCCGATGAAGGCGCATTATTACAGCGCTGAAATGTTTTATTTTCTTTCTTATTTAATTTATCTTTTGTGGGAATGGGCACTTTTTTCTAATAAATTATTTTCTCGATTTATGGTTACTACCGATTAGGGTTTTGCTAGAATCTGCAATTCGCCATTTAGGGATAGCTTATTAGAGAGTTTACGTTTTGTTTTCAGAGTAGGAGCTATATTGGGTGGTAGAGGCGCTCTGCCTCGAGGTATTAGAGATGGGGAATTTGGGCATCTTTATAGCTCTACCCTACCTGTTTTTTGAGTAGATAAGCTTCTATGCTTGTATTTCACTCATATAGAGCTCCTCTAGGTTATGTTATCTCTCTTATGATTCAGTGTTATTTTCTCCCAATTTAGCCAAAGCAGAATGGGATTGCTATTTTTGTAATTGGCGGTTGCTACTTTTGTAACTTTTGGATATTTTCTTTCAATTGTGTACCAGGAGGGTTAGGGTTCTATATATTGTGAAGTATGACCCTTTTCTTGGACACAATTTGACCTTTTATATTTTATCTACACACTATAGATATTCCCTAGATTAAATGTAGACATTTAATAGATATGCCACATTGCACCTATTTAATTAATAAATAAAGGAATCTCTCTTAATATTATATAACTGAGTTGTGCTCACATGGTATAGCCTTTTTTTTTTTAACAAGTTCCCGCACTATTGGATACACAATTTGCATTTTAATAGGGTTATGTTGTGCAAGTTTATATTTATTAGATTATTCAAGCACCGATGTATCTTCTATATGAATACAAATATATGGCGAAAGTATAAAAGTGGTAACCATGATATTCAGACTCCAGGGGAAGGTCACCTAAACTGGCTCTATGGTAAAAAGGGCATAACCCTTGTATGTATTTTAGAGGCATAAACAAAACAATACTCAATGAGTATCCCAAATAGATAAAGGGACTCAGTGAGAAATAGCACAGTAAGAGAAAGGACAGACGGTAAACGAGGAGTAGTAAATCCCTACCTTTATTATTACTAATTAAAAACAGAAGAAATAAAGTTTACAATAATGTTTGTACGCTAGGGGAGGATAAATACCAGAAAGAACTGGTGCAGAACAGGGCAAACCTAAAATAGAGGTCCCTGAAAAAGCCTCCTCTTGGGTGAGAGAGAGGGAAGTAGGTATTGATGTAAAAAGGGTTATATAGGGTTGAATGTAGGCTCAGCAGGAGTAATAGTCAAAACATTAGACCTCGTATAGTAAAGTAAATATGTGAGCTAAAACTCTTTAGCTGGTAACTAAAGTACCAAGTAACCCCACTCTCGGCTAAAGCTATCAGTAAACTCTAGCAAGGGTTAATAACCAAAAAAACTCTTAAAAAATACATCAGTACAAGCAGGATCAACAAGACCTAAGAAACTCAAGAAAGATCTCTCCCTGGGTTACCTTGGCACCGCACGTAGCTAGTGCCTACCTGAACCAACTGACCCTAGTGTAGCCAAACTGGTCCCCCTCCCCTGGCGCTGAAGGGGTTAAAACCCCTTCAGCCACTTACCTTTATCCATCGCTGGGCTCCCTCGGCGCTGGTGACCTCTCCTCCCCCGCTGACGTCAGCTCCCGAGCGGGGACGTTCTGCATGTTGGATGCATCGCAGATGCGCCTCTAGCGGCTGTCAGGAAGAAAGTCACTAGAGGTTGGATTAACCCCTAATGTAAACATAGCCGTTTCTCTAACACTGCTATGTTTACATCTGAAGGGTTAAAACCTGAGGGACCTGGCACCCAGACCACTTCATTGAGCTCAAATGGTCTGGGCGACTATAGTTCCTTTTAAATAAATGTGCTCATCGTGCTACCAAGTGCAAAAATTAAGGTGCTAGTATCTTATATATGGTTGACATTTTCTGGATTTTCCTATGTTTCAGTCCCTTTTAGAGGGGCTGGATTATTATTTGTTACTTAATAATATATAGACTGTATAATATATAGAATGTGTGACTGATATATAGACTATGGGTTGAGTGAAAACTCAGGATTTCCTGATTAATAAATTGTCTCCCTAACATGTGTCTGTCTGTCTCTGGTCGGTCTCTTTCTCTGACATGTGTCAGTCTGAGGTCACTCTCGCTCTTACACGTGTTTGACTCAGGTCAGTCTCTGTCTCTGACATGTGTCTGTTTGTCTCAGGTCTCTCTCTTTCTATATGTGTCTGTCTGTCTCAGTTCAGTCTCTCTCTCTCTTTCTCTTTCTCTGACATGTGTATGTATGTCTCAGGTCACTCTCTCCAGTATTATTCCACGGCGGTCTCAGTTCCCGGATATGGGCTGCCAGAGTTTTCTACAGTTACATATGTGGATGGGATACAGATAATGAATTATAACAGTGACTCCGGCCGGGATGTTCCTGTTGCTCAGTGGATGGAGAGAAGGGGACAGGATTACTGGGAGAGAAATACACAGATCTGCAAAGGTGTTGAGGCTGCATTCAAACAGAATGTGAAGACAGAAATGCAACACAACAACCAGACCGGAGGTGAGATACATACAGTATATTACATAGTTACATAGTTACATAGCTGAAAAGAGACTTGCGTCCATCAAGTTCAGCCTTCCTCACATTTGTTTTGTTTTTGCTGTTGATCCAAAAGAAGGCAGAAAAACCCAGTTTGAAGCACTTCAAATTTTGCAACAAACTAGGAAAAATATTCCTTCTTGACCCCAGAATGGCCGTCAGATTTATCCTTGGATCAAGCAGTTATTACCCTACATTGAAAGATTATATCCTTGAATATTCTGTTTTTGCAAGTATGCATCTAGTAGCTGTTTGAACATCTGTATGGACTCTGTTAAAACCACTTCTTCAGGCAGAGAATTCCACATCCTTATTGTTCTTACAGTAAAAAAGCCTTTCCTTTGCCTTAGTCGAAATCTTCTTTCTTCCTTCTCGTGTCCTATGTAAAGTCCGGTTTGTGAATAGATTTCCACACAGTGGTTTGTATTGGCCCCGAATATATTTGTATAATGTTATCATATGCCCTCTCAGGCGATGTTTTTCTAAACTAAATAGGTTTAAATTTGTCAGCCTTTCTTCATAGCTGATATGTTCCATTCCTTTTATTAATTTTGTAGCCTTTTTCTAGTGCTATAATATCCTTCTTTAGAACAGGTGCCCAAAATTGGACAGCATATTCCATATGTGGTCTTACCAGTGATTTATAAAGAGGCAAAATGATATTCTCATCCCGAGAATGAATGCCCTTTTTCATGCATGACAATACCTTACTGGCCTTGGCCACTGCTGATTGACATTGCACATTGTTGCATAGTTTGTTGTCTATAACAATTCCCAAGTCCTTTTCGTGTGTTGTTATCCCTAATTCACTTCCATTAAGGGTATACATTGCTTGTGCATTTTTTACACAGGAGTGCATAACTTTGCATTTTTCAACATTAAATTTAATTTGCCATTTGAGTGCCCAGTGCCCCAGTCTATCTAAATCCCTCTGCAGCAAAGTAATATCTTGCTCACATTGTATCACTTTACAGAGTTTTGTGTCATCTGCAAACACTGAAACATAACTTTCAATGCTTTTTTCAAGATCATTTATAAACATGTTAAATAGAAGGGGTCCCAGAACAGAACCCTGAGGGACACCACTTGCCACCTCTGTCGAGCTTGAAAATTTGCCATTAATGGCAACTCTTTGTACTCTATTTTTAAGCCAATGTTCTACCCAAAAACAAGCATTTTCATTTAGACCGATTTGCTTGAGTTTGAACAATGATCTATTGTGTGGAACTGTATCAAATGCCTTGGCAAAATCCAAATAGATCACATCCACTGATATACTCTCAGGGCCAGATTAAGAGCCCAGTGGGCCTGGTGCTGACAATTATGAGGGGCCTAAGTACAGAATCTTATCGAACAAAAACACTAAAACAGTCATACCTCTCAAGCTTTATGTAGCTGGTGGAGATGTTGCCAGAGGGAAACTCATAGGATGCAGCTATAAAAAACTCAGATTCTCTTAAAATATGCTAATCTCTCTCTAATTCATGCTTTCATCTTTCAAGTAAATCCATACCCCCTAACAGCAGTGTCCAGTGAAGCAGGAAGTCAATGGGTGGTGTAAAAGGGTGGGCCACCGATGCGGATCATGTAACCAGAACTTCCGAAAGGGCCGAACATTCCCAAAGAATTGGAAGGCTAGCCTGGCATGAATGCATGTCAGGCTGCCTGCCAATCATGCATGCTGGCCAACAGCATCCTGAGCTTGGCATAAATGCGTCTAATGATGCGCTCGCCCCATGCTTTCTAAGGACTGTCCCCTAGCACTCACGTGTCCACTTGTCTCCTACCTTCTTACTATCAGGTAGAAGCTCCTGGTATACAGTCTGAGACAGAGAAAAGATGGATATAGTGAGTGTAGAAGAAAGGGAACATGCCACAGTGTTAGAAAGACCAAAGTCAGCATTACCTTAACTAATGTAATTGTCAGCCAGTCCACACAAGTTTTATTTCCATATATCCCTCTTAAGTTTCCATACTTAAGCAAGAATATGTAAAGAGTAGTTAGGGCTGCCACCTTTCTTGGAAAAAAATACAGGCCTTACTAATTTGCATAAGCAATTATGTATGTGTGACATCAGATGATGTAAATCACAAGGAGTGGCAGAGAAAATTCTGTGAAATCACCAAAAAACTACTTAGTTTGATTCTGCTGTATAGATGGATTGCTCCCAGTGTCTCCCTGTCACCCAGTGTCCCCCAGTGTCCCCATGTCACTAGGGGACACTGGGAGACATGGGGCACTGAGACACTGTGATACATAGTCTAAGTGTCTCAGTGTCCCCATGTCTCACAGTGTCCCCTAGTGACATGGGGACACCGACACTAGGGGACACTGGGTGACAGGGAGACACTGGGAGCAATCCATCTATACAGCATGTCTCCCAGGTACACAGAGACATGGGGACACTGGGAGACATGGTGACACAGACACTGGGAGACATGGGCACACTGAGACACTAGGCATACTGGGAGATTAGGTACACAGACACTAGGGACACTGGGAGACATGGGAACATTGAGACACTAGGGACCCTGGGGTACATAAGAACACTGAGACACCAGGGACACTGGCTGGGAGACATGGGGACACTGAGACACTTGGGGACATTGTGTCCCTAGTGTCTGTGTCCCCATGTCTCCCAGTGTCCCCTGTCTTAGTGTCCCCATGTGTGTCTGTGTCCCCATGTCCGCTACTGTCTCAGTGTTCCCATGTCTTAGTGTCTGTGTCCCCATGTCCGCTACTGTCTCAGTGTGTCCATGTCTCAGTGTCCCCATGTGTGTCTGTGTCCCTGTGTCTCCAAGTGTCTCAGCATCCACAGAAGTCTCCCTGTGTCCCCTTGTCTCATAGTGTCCCCTAATGCCTAAGTGTCCCCATGTTTCCCTGCAGCCTTTACACTTCTCTGAGCTGCAGGCTGGGAGCTGCTGTCTGGACTGGTGCTGTGTAGCTGCTCCTCTGCGGATCAGTGAATAGAGCGATCCAGGTATATGAGGTAACTTCCTATCCCTGCATCTCTCCACACACACAGCGTCCCCTACTGGCCGGTAATGGTATTACAGAGTAATCTCTGTTTATACTGAGAAAAATATCGGCATTTGTATTGCTGGTATTACTGCAATATTGGCACTGGCCAGGCAGCCTCAAATAAATACCGGCCAGGTGAACAGCCCTAAGAGTAGTGTGTAAAAAAAATAATATATATATATATATATATATATATCTATATTATTTATTTTTTAAATCAATGGGCCTATTCCATGGGCCTGGGCCTGGGCCTGGAGCTGCAGCTCCATCAGCCCCTATGTTAATCCGGCATTCTACTTACTTCTTCAGAGAATGCAATCAAGTTTGTTTGACATGACCTGTGCTTCATAAAACCATGCTGATTTTTGCTGATAACCATGTTCTTCTCAAGGAATTCTTGAATTTTATCCCTTAATAACCTTTCAGACATTTTCCCAGCCACAGAAGTTAAAGGAACACTATAGTCACCTAAATTAATTCAGCTAAATAAAGCAGTTTTAGTGTATAGATCATTCCCCTGCAATTTCACTGCTCAATTCACTGTCATTTAGGAGTTAAATCACTTTGTTTCTGTTTATGCAGCCCTAGCCGCACTTCCCCTGGCTATGATTGACATAGCATGCATGAAAAAAAAACTGGTTTCACTTTGAAACAGATGTAATTTAACTTAAATAATTGTATCTCAATCTCTAAATTGAACTTTAATCGCATACAGGAGGCTCTTGCAGGGTCTAGCAGGCTATTAACATAGCATGGGATAAGAACATCTTAATTAAACAGAACTTGCAATAAAGAACGCCTAAATAGGACTCTCTTTACAGGAAGTGTTTATGGAAAGCTGTGCAAGTCACATGCAGGGAGGTGTGACTAGGGTTCATAAACAAAGGGATTTAACTCCTAAATGGCAGAGGATTGAGCAGTGAGGCTGCAGGGGCATGTTCTATACACCAAAACTGCTTCATTAAGCTAACGTTGTTCAGGTGACTATAGTGTCCCTTTAAGCTCACAGGTCTATAATTTCCAGGCAAGGATTTTGAGCCCCTTTTGAATATAGGAACCACATCTGCCTTCCTCCAATCCTCCAGAACACTTCCTGAAAGAAAGGAATCTTGAAAGATTAAAAACAGAGGTTCACTTATTTCTACACTTAGTTCCTTAAGTACTCGTGGATGAATACCGTCAGGCCTTGGAGCTTTGTTTATATTAACTTTCTTTGGTTGCTGCAGCACCTTGTCTTGAGTTAACCAATTACAATTATTCTGCAAGGTTTTAGCAGCAATCATTTGCACATCTATTGACATGGGTTCTTCCTTAGTATATACGGAGGAGAAATAGTTATTTAAGATTTCTGCCTTTTCCTGGTCTTCATTAACTAACACCCCCGTTTCAGTTTTTAGTGTACCTACACTTTCATTTTTTTTTTTTTGAATTTGTGTACTTAAAGAATGCTTTGGGGTTGGTTTTACTCTCTTTGGCTATCATTTTTTCATTTTGAAGTTTAGCGAATCTAATCGCCTTTTTGCACGCATTATTGGCTTCCTTATATTTTTTATAGGATGCATCTGATTTGTCTAATTTAAATGCTTTAACCCCTTAAGGACCAAACTTCTGGAATAAAAGGGAATCATGACATGTCACACATGTCCAGTGGTGTATCCTGGTTTTGTGCTGCCCTAGGCACAGACACACTAGCAGACACACAAACAAACTCACACACACACTAACAAACACACACACATTAACAGACACACACTCACTGACACACACTCACAGGCAAACACACTCACACTAACAGACACACACACACACTAACAGACACACACACACACAGGCAAACACACTCACTGACACACAGTCAGACACACACATACACACAGACACACACAGTCAGACACACACTAACAGACACACACTCACTCACTAGCAGACACACACACACACTCAAACAGTGGGCATTTGCGGGGCGGCGTTTTTTGCCGCCCCCTGAAAAATGCCGCCCAAGGCAAATGCCTTGTTTGCCTCGCGGCTAAAAGGCCCCTGCACATGTCATGTGTCCTTAAGGGGTTAAATGCCCTTTTCTTATTTTTATATACACACTGACACTCTCTACACACTGACACACACTATGTGTGTACATACTGACACAATATAAAGGAAATCTCCAGTGCCAGGAAAACATATTCTTTTTCCTTGCACTGCAGGATCCTGCAGTGCCCCTCTCCTTCCAATACCCCATTCCAAGTTGCTGAATGGGTTAAAACCCCTTCAGTGACTTACCGGAGTCCAGCACCGATGTCCCTCCGTGCTGAGTCAGGCTCCCCCTACTCTCCTCCCCGGGGGAGACCTAATGCGCATTCCGGTTTGATAACAATCGTTTCATCTCTTTGTAGTTCTTTAAAAGAGCACTATAGTCAACAAATAAAAGCAAGAATGACAGGTCCCCTAGCCTTCTTTCTTGCTTTTATATTAACTTCTCATTAATAACAAATAAATTTGAGCCCTTTTTATCATATAAACTTACCTCCGTTCCAGCGCCGAACTCCTCGGCAGACTGCACCCCCTTTTTCGTTAAAATCACGATGCAGCAGGGCTCATTCAGACGCTTCTCTTAGAGAAGCGTCATAGCAATCTGGTGCACATGCACGGCTTTGCGCTGCACCAATCGCGTTCTTCATAGAGTGGCATTGAATGCTGTCCTATGAATGAACACTGAGTGCTCTACCGTGCATAGTGTCTCTTTAGGACTTTCTCTTTCTTTCTTTGTCAGATTATATTTGTCTCCCTTATTCTTTCCATCTAAGGCTCTTATATCTTTGGATACTTTATTTTCCAATATGTCTAGGCACCTGATTTAAAACTTGATGGATAAAAAATGTTTTAAAACTTTTTACATATGGTTCTTCATTAATATTTTCACTGTTCTGTATTTTATCACTCCTAACAATTCTCTTGCCCATATAAAATCTCTTTACGGTTGCATCGCACACAAGTTTGTAAAAACATTGTACAGAATACTAAGACCACACTTGGAGTATTGTACGCAGTACTGGAGACCGTATCTCCATAAGGATATTGATACTTTGGAGAGAGTTCAGAGAAGGGCTACTAAACTGGTTCATGGATTACAGGATAAAACTTACCAGGAAAGGTTAAAGGATCTTAACATGTATAGCTTGGAGGAAAGACGAGACAGGGGGGATATGATATGAACATTTAAATACATAAAGGGAATCAACACAGTAAAGGAGGAGACTATATTTAACCCCTTAGTGACCAGACCGTTTTTCAGTATTCTTACCATTAAGGACTAAAGGACAATGGCTCTTTTTACATTTCTGCTGTGTTTGTGTTTAGCTGTAATTTTCCTTTTACTCATTTACTGTACCCACACATTAAATACTGTTTTTCTTGCCATAAAATGGTCTTTCAAAAGATACCATTATTTTCTTCATATCATTTAATTTACTCTAAAAGAAAAGTATACAATATGATGAAAACATTAAAAAAAACACACTCTTTCGAACTTTAACCCCCAAAATCTGCTGCGCATCTACAACCGCCCAAAAACAAATTAGTCTCTAACTTTTATCCTGGGCTTAGAAATGTCCAATGTTAACATGTTCTTAGCTTTTTTTGGAAAGTTATAGGGCTATAAGTACAAGTAGCACTTTGCTATTTCCAAACCATTTTTTCTACATTGTTACATTGTAACACTGATATCTGTCAGGAATCCCTGAATAACCCTTCACCCGTATATATTTTTTAAAAGAAGTTAACCTAAGGTATTAAACTTGGGGTATTTTGATTTTCATGCAACCATTTTACCACCAATCTATTAAAAAAAAAAAAAAAAAAATTCGAGTTTTTTTGACACACATGACAATCTAAGAATACATGTACGGAGAACTTTAGGGTTAATGCCAAAGAACACCCCAATATGTGTTCAGCAACATCTCCTGAGTACAGTGATAACCCCCATGTACAGGTGTGTTGGGTTCTCTGGGGGCTAAAATACCTTATTTGGAGGGTGTGCATTCTAGTTTTCCAACTTGGAATTTTCACAGCTGGTCATCATGCACCCATTTCTTATTTGGGAAATTTTTGAAGCCAGCCAATATAATTTACCCCATCAAACCATATATTTTTGAAAAGTAGAAACCCTAGGGTATTTCAAATGGTGGTATTTTAACACTTTCCATGCATTATGTGGCAAACGTAACCTCGCCACTGGTACTTGGAGGGGCCTGCTTGCCAACCTATTGCCCCAGGATTATGGTCCCTGCAAAAAGACATGTTAAATAGTGACTTCCATGGAAAAACCAAACCAGTGAACCGATCTGGGTGATTTTTGGATATGTTGGTCATCCAGATCAGGGCTATCCGAGAATGTGACTTGGGGTTTCCATGGATCCTGAGGGTACTTTTGGGGTGTTTGTAAATTGTGTGTTTTTCTGTACCTGGAGATAATTAAGTATCTCTGAGACACAGAGGAGGAGTATGTTGAATGTATTGCTTGTCTGTGCCTCTTCCCCTCCCCCTTTTTCCTGTTCTATTGTTTCCCCAGCAGGGCGTTGTCCCAGGGACACTGCCAGACCAGTTTAAACTGGCTGCTTTGTCCCTCCTCAATCTCCCATCAGCCCTTGCTATTGTCTGACCCCACCCTTCCTTGTACTATAGTGCTCTATATAACCTATTGTATGTAATTGAGGCTGTTGGGGGTTTAAATATAAATTGTAAATGCCGGCTTGCATTAAATAGACCTGCTTTAACCCTTCATGAAATCTTGGGGATGGGATAACTACACTCTTGGGGATTGCTATAATCACAATACTCCCTTGTGTATAAGCTCTTGTAAGAGCGTGTTCCTGCTACGCTCTCTGGAGTAGGAGAGGTCTGCCCACTGGACGCTGGATCCTGGTCTTCGGTCCATGGTGGGTGAAGGACGGTGAGACCCCAATATGTGTTCAGTAATGTGACGAAAGCAACTTCGCCCTGGTTTTTGGAGGGGCCTGTTTGCCAGCCTCCTACTCTGGGACTATGTGCCCTGTGATAACCCATGTTCAAAAGTACTGTTTCTGCCCCTTGAACTTTTAACTGGAACAGATTCAAACATGTGGCGGCGGCCATCTTAAATTGTCCAGTAGTGTTTTGTTGTCGAGTGTATGGAACTGTTTTGGGCATGAGACTATGTGTACGGTGGGGCAAAAATAAGACTTCCAGGAAATTCCTGAACCCCTGAACCGATCTGGGTGATTTCTGGATATGTTGTTCACGCAGATCAGTCCTATGTGGGGATATGTTGTATTTTGGGGTACTTTTTGGGGTTTGTAAAAATTTATTTTTTTCTGCTTAGAGTTAATTGAGTTAGTCCATTGTCTTCATTAATTATATCACAGGCAGAGCACTGACATTACAAACACTCCTAGCCAGCTCTGTACTGACATTACAAACACTCCTAACCAGCTCCGCACTGACTGACATTACAAACACTCCTAGCCAGCTCTGTACTGACATTAGAAACATCCCTAGCCAGCCCTGCACTGACTGACATTACAAACACTCCCAACCAGTTCTGCACTGACTGACATTACAAACACTCCTAGCCAGCTCTGCACTGACACTACAAACACCCCTAGCCAGCCCTGCACTGACTGACATTACAAACACTCCTAGCCAACCCTGACTGACATTACAAACATTACAGTGCAGGGTTGGCTAGGAGTGTTTGTAATGTCAGTCAGTGCAGGGCTGGCTAGGGGTGTTTGTAGTGTCAGTGCAGAGCTGGCTAGGAGTGTTTGTAATGTCAGTTAGTGCAGAACTGGCTGGGAATGTTTGTAATGTCAGTCAGTGCAGGGCTGGCTAGGGATGTTTCTAATTGACTGACTGACATTGGCTAGGAGTGTTTGTAATGACTGACTGACATTACAAACACTCCTAGCCAGTTCTGCACTGACTGACATTACAAACACTCATAGCCAACCCTGTACTGACTGACATTACAAACACTCATAGCCAGTTCTGCACTGACATTACAAACACTCCTAGCCAGCCCTGTACTGACTGACACTACAAACACTCCTAGCCAGCTCTGCACTGACACTACAAACACCCCTAGCCAGCCCTGCACTGACTGACATTACAAACACTCCTCGCCAACCCTGTACTGACTGACATTACAAACACTCCTAGCCAGCCCTGCACTGACTGACATTACAAACACTCCTAGCCAACCCTGTACTGACTGACATTACAAACACTCCTAGCCAGCTCTGCACTGACATTACAAACACTCCTAGCCAGTTCTGCACTGACTGACTTTACAAACACTCCTGGCCAGCCCTGTACTGACTGACATTACAAACACTCCTAGCCAGTTCTGCACTGCCATTACAAACACAGCAATTATTTCACCTGTGTCTAAAGCTCTGAATGTTCAAATTTTTTGAGTTGAAACAATAAATCCTGGACCCCCTGTGAGATGCCTATTGACTTACAGTAGGAGGAGAGCAGTCTATTCATATAATCAATATGTAAAATAGTAATAATTACCAAATATTACTACTTACATGACATAAAGTCATGATTGTATTAAGGACACAGAGACGAGTATTAGGTTTTATCTCATTCTTTATTCCTCAGAATTAAAGAAAGGATATTAAGATATTAATAGAAAAAAAAACAACAAAAAATATAAACCTTAAAGGGTTAACCATATAACATATTCAACCAATGGGACCAGTCCTCGTTCCATTTACTTCCAGGTGACCCTTAGCCACTCCTCTTTCTTGGTGATGCCGGATCCAAATGTTCAACAATAACAACTGAAACATGACAAACTGACTCAACACAACCAGATAATCAAACGTCCAGTATTGCAGAGACAACATCTTCCGAGGGTACACATCCATTGTAACTGTGGGAAGAGAATCGGTCCTGATAAAACCATTGCAAAGGTTCAGGCTATAAGGGACAGAAAACAAATGGTAAAATATGTTCCAACAAGGATGTCATTCAGACTATATATCAGTGGTAACTAAGGCGTATAATACTGAACATGTCCCATCGGGTTGTGCATATGATAGTTAATTAGGGATTATTCTAGCCTCGGTGAGGGAATAATCTAAATTTTATTAAAGACAGGAGGCGAATATTTGCTTTACCTTCTTTACTGAAACCTCCAGCAGCAAAGAAACAGTTAACAGAACTTTTCAAAAACAACCAATCAGAACAAAGCAACAGTAGTATAAAACCCCTAAGCAGGCTCTTCCACTTCCTCTTTCTTTGATGAGGTCGAGCAGGAGAGCAAGGAAACCAACGAATCCACCTTGTAGCAGACACATCCAGAAAAACAATCGTCAAGCCTAGAGAGAAAACAGATTACACTGCAAGAAAACAAAAAACATAGTGAAAGTAAACTGTCAAGGCAAGATGTCATATCCATACAATATCACTTTCACATCATAATACCTGATGAATAAACAAAGTCTACAGATCTTCTGAAGACCTAGTATGTACCTAAGCTAAAAGGCATTGACGAAACATAATTACAACACAAACATGATGAATAAAACGCACACGGACAACCATCACTGAATATTAGAAATAACCTTTATTATGTAAAACCATGCATTCACAAAAAACAATATCCCCAATTCTTTATAATAGAAATAAACCCAGATCGAGGGAGGGAACGTAAAAAAGGGGGGGAAATATTCGCCTCCTGTCTTTAATAAAATTTAGATTATTCCCTCACCGAGGCTAGAATAATCCCTAATTTTATGGCAGGACAGGAGGCTTCATATTTGCAATTTTAACGCCCAAATAGTAGAACCAGAAGCAATATGAGATAGAGGACTGCAATAAAGGAGAATGGAAAAACTGATTCCCTAAACCAAGCAGCGGTGTAGAGAAAATGCAGAAGGGACCCAACGGCTTCCAAAATTGTTGAGGTGACAGCACCCCGAACCAAAAGTGTCCCAGAGGAACTCAAGGTCAGTCAATGCGAGGATCCACCAAATCCAACGGGCGAGCGAAGATGCAGAAACTGTCCAAAACGGCCGTACGCAGAAATACACAGCTGTCCATGAGTAGACGGACGAAAGAACCAGATCCTGGATCTACATGGTCGTGTACAATCTGTCAGAGCCGTGGCATATCCGGAGAATAGGGGTACGACACAGAGGACGAATAAAAATGAAATATGTGTGGAGCAGAAGCCGATGTACTGAACGGCAAGAAGGAAGAAGACACGTTGATACCATGACGTCAGAACGCGATGAAATACAAGATGTACTGGGGGGAAACCGTAAGCGGAAAAAACTGGTGCACCTTGTCATCAGGTCATTCCTCCATGAAATGCAGAACACACGATACCACTAGACTTGAGGAATAGCGAGAGATAGGGCTCCCGTACGGTATACTCCTCTTGGTAGACTGCAGACCAAGAGATCCTTAGCAATGCCAGAATCTTGAGAAAACGCACATGAGTCGTCCACTAGCTGACATAGGACGTGAATGGCCTCATACGATCCTACCCTGAGAGGGCAACTCAGCCAGACAATGGGGACAGCCATGATAAGGACCGCCATTGGGACCCAAACACCAGTCGTGGCAGGCTACCCCTGTGGATCCCACGTGGGACATTAAGAGACAGGGAGTCGTAGATTACCTTCCCATGGCAAATTCCAGCAAAAAGGGGAAAGCACACAGGACTCCTCCGAAGTGGTTTGGCCAGGCGAAACGACACTTCAAGGAATTCAGTCTGAAGCAAAACCCAAAGTATCCTGTAGGTAAACGGGATGCGTACGCCCCGAAGGAGACCAAGCTTGGAAACTCGTTCCTCGCCGAGGGTCCGGCAGCCAGCTGAAGAACCGCTCCGTATGGCGGTTCACATCGAATGTAATCATGCCAGTACTTGAGACCCCGGAGGGTGAAGCAACCAATCAATGGGGTCTCTCCATGGTCGGATGAAGCCGTCCGCCACATGAGTGTCTCGTCCCGCATACATTCTGTCACAAATGACGAATACTTGTCCAGAAGCTATAGATAGCGATTCTATGTGAGATCCGACTGCAGTCCGTAGTGGGCAACCGGTGAGAAGTCCATGCCGGAAGGTAGCGAGCAATACTGTGAATGTTGAACAAACCTGCATGTAGTCCCATGCAGTTGGCGTAAAGGAGTCCCTCCTCCGGAGTCATCAATTAAGTTTTAGATGAGCTTCATCCGAAGGTCACACCAGGCTGAAGACCCGAGAAAGCGCCATGTTGGAGCGGCTGATAGTACCGGGTTGGGCCCCTAAGTGTAACCCGCGGGTTGCGGAGCATATACCTGGTATTTTCCTTGAAGACGGACATCTTGGTCCTCGGGAGGAGGAGCACCGCCTGGACCGAATATTCCATGAAAGACAGGAAACTGGGTTGACTGGGAGTGAGTCAGATTCAATATGTCCATGTTGATGGCAAAATCCATGCGGGTTTCTCTCATGTGCAATTGAGGGAGAGAACCAATCGTCAACGCCGAGCAGCTCTCAGAGGGGATGAGTGCCCTCCGTCTCGAAATGTGTCAGACGACATATGCACTGGGAGCATGTAGCGTGGGGATGGGGCGGGAGTCCACTCCACTGCACCCTTTGCCCAGCAGGGCAACTGCGGAATGAGTCATGCGTATCGCGCATGGAACGGTCCAAGTTTCCGCAACCTTAATCTGGAGTCCAGGCACGGGCCGAGAGACCTCTGGGGCTAGTTAAGGGGGAACCCTATGAATAGAGATGTGTCAGCTCAATTTGTACACGAGGGTGACTCCGGAGAGCAGACCCAGCACTTGGATGCTAAATCCATCAGTTTGATGTCCAGCTTGGACAGGGGCCATTTTGCGGTTCTCAGGGGTAGAAACCAACTAGGCGATACCTATAAGTCATATCGGTCCATTCCCAGTGGGAATTTAGTCTTCTCCGCTTTTCAAGCGGTAACGCGCCGAGGAAACATCTGTGTCCGCGTGTCACCGACATCCACTGGTTAGTCCCAGATAGAGTGCAAATCCCGTGTCAGGTGTTTGCGGTGTCCTTTCCGGACTCTGTCATGAAGACTGATCCTCTTGATGAATCCATCCATTAGCCAACGAGTACCAGGGGTGCTTGGTGTAGCGTCTAGGATGACCGGTGGAGTGTCCCTGTAGGGTACCGATGGTTTCTGGCAGTGAGGTCAGCGGGGCGGCAAGAAGACAGGCCAAGTGACCTTCTGGGTACGGGAGATTTGTCCTTCAGCCGTGATTGCACAACTGCCATAGAGGTAACACTGTCGGAATGATACCTGGTGCGGCCAGCTGGGGGTCACCCAGCGTGCAAGAGGGGGTCACCCAACAAGCACAAGCATACCATGCAGTATAGGCCAGAAGGGGAGGGGGTCACCCTCAGTCTGAACATAATCGGACACTGTAGGTACAGTGGTGCGGCCAGCTGGGGGTCACCCAGCGTGCAAGAGGGGGTCACCCAACAAGCACAAGCATACCATGCAGTATAGGCCAGCAGGGGAGGGCGTCACCCTCAGTCTGAACATAATCGGACACTGTAGGTACAGTGGTGCGGCCAGCTGGGGGTCACCCAGCGTGCAAGAGGGGGTCACCCAACAAGCACAAGCATACCATGCAGTATAGGCCAGCAGGGGAGGGGGTCACCCTCAGTCTGAACATAATCGGACACTGTAGGTACAGTAGTGCCGAAGTGGTTAGCCGTATAATAAAGTAACCAGAGATTGCCGGTCCAGCAGTGTAGACGGCAGGAGGGGGTCACCCTCATATAACCAGAACTGGGCATTGAAGATCCAGCAGTGCTGTAGGTAAGAGGGGGACACCCTCAGTGTGGTATCATAGAGGTCTGTACACCCAGCAGTGTAGTCAGCGAGAGGGGGTCACCCTCATTATGGTTATAACTGGACCCTGTAGGTCCAGCAGAGTAGTCCACAGGAGGGGGTCACCCTTAGGATCTGCGTATTGCAGGGCACTGTAAGAACAGAAGCTCAATCAGTGGGAAGGGTACCCTCTTTTATGGGAATACCTGGACGCTGCAGGTCCAGCAGTGCAGACTGCAGGAGGGGTACCCCCTCGGTATGATAATAGCAGGACAATGCTTGAGCATTAGTATAGGAAGCAGGAGGGGGTCACCCTCAGCATTAATCTTACAGGACGCCGTAGAGCCAGCAGGGTACTCATAGGTAGCCATGTTGCCAGAGGGAGGGGGTCACCCAGCCCACAATGGTGTCACACGTCCATTATTATGGTCCAGTAGCGGGTAGAGCCCCAGAAATATGGATGGAGAGGGGGGTTCACCCCCCCAGTAATAACAGGTCTGAATGTGGGGCCAGTAGGGTCCATATAGTGAGAAGCTGACTCACAGACCACTCAGGTATTATATTAGGATACACTTTTGAAGTGTATGTGTAGTGGAAAATTTAAGTCCCTTGCAGGAAGGGCAGCAAATCCTAGGCAGGGAAGCTAGGTGCTGAAAAACAGGCCATTTAATTTTTCTGAGAAAAAGACTGAACCATAGAGAAAGACTTGATTAGCATTTACCACATGTGGCATAGTCTTGTTAAACAAAAGATTTTAGAAGTAACATGTCCCTTTAAATCTGAGATTCACATGTAATAGTAAAAAAGTGTGACAAGTCTACTGCTAAGATAGAGAACCTAGTCACATTGCATCAGACATAGTAAGCTGCAGTTGGGAGCGTGCCTGGGACAGATCCTGCTATCCAGGATCTGTTACATATGCAGCATGTGAGACAGGCACAGTAAGTAGAGGGATAGCTGAAAAACTGGACTATCTCCCCTGATATAGGGAGAGTGGCCACATGGCCAGCAGGCCAGTTCGTGGGTGAGACCTGGCTGTTCGCAACGCACAGAGCCCATGTGGCTCTGAAAAATGGTCGCCGCGGCTCCAACAAAATGGCTGCCATGGCTGCAAAAACAGAGCGCGGCCTACCGCGTGGTGATCATGCGGCACTGCAAGCGGCCAGGGGCCGCGGGGAGCAGGTGGGGAATAAGGAAGAAGGGTATGGACGACAGAGTCCAGCAGGGGAACCCGGGGAGGGGGAACAGATTACAGGCAGAGCCAAAGCATCATAGAAGGGGCACCCATTCCCCATACAGCAGAGTGAGAAAAACTGCATAAAGTAACCCAGAATAACAATAAATCAATGAGCAGTATCCAGAATCTATCAGATAAATAGCCTAAATACAGCAACAGATGTTAACAAGTGATACAGCAGCTACATAGCATGAAGTGGTATAGGAAATAACACAGAATAGACTGCCTAGCTAAGCCCAGCAATAGACTGCCTAGATAAACACAGTAGACAAACTTAAAACAAATCCAGCAAGAACCCTGCCTAAATAAAACCAGCAATTAAGCTGCCTAAACAAACCTAACAAATAGACTGATTAAATAAACAAGCAGTATGTAGGATAAAACAACAACCAAGAGCAGAGACAACTCTGAGTTGGTGAGTGCTCACCTGGAGGCAGCAGCAAAGAAAGAGCCTGCTTAGGGGTTTTATACTACTGTTGCTTTGTTCTGATTGGTTGTTTTTGAAAAGTTCTGTTAACTGTTTCTTTGCTGCTGGAGGTTTCAGTAAAGAAGGTAAAGCAAATATGAAGCCTCCTGATCTGCCATAAAATTATACTTATTATTATTATTATAATATTTATAGAGCGCCGTCAAATTTCGCAACGCTTTACAATTTATACTTAATTGGTAACCTAATATAAAATCAAAGCAGAAAGTCAAAACCATGTTGCTCGTACGAAAACCTGGGTGGAAAGACAAACGGAAAAAAACTTACCTCTCATCGGGAGGGCTAACACTCGCCTCTGCGTCCTTAATAAAATCATGACTTTACCTCATGTAATTAGTAAAATCTGGTAACTTTATTAAAGGACACCGAGGCTCATATTAGGCTAATTTAAGGCCAAAAATAGTATTCCTTAAACATCGATTCATGAGACCAATCAGCTGTGTGGGGAAGGTCTTCTAGTATACAACCCAATGTGAATGCTTTTGAAGCCATGGTAGCTCTAGAAGAATGAGCACCATAAACTGATGTATCAATGATAGTTGATGACATTATACATTTCACCCAGCGGGCAAACATCACAGTGCATACTAGGTAATGAGTTATTCTATGAGCCAGAAACAAGTCGTGATGTGTTGGGTTCCTGAACGATTAAGTCCGTAGTTTATACTCCTGGAGGCATGCCATCAGGCAGAGGTGAGGAAAGGAGGGATAGAAGACTGACGTAATCACTGATTTTGTATGTCTGGGGATATTGAAACAAAGCACCGGTCGGAGTGAAAGAGCATGCGTCGATATCCAGTGCACGGACATCCGACATCCATTTGGATGTAATCAAACACAATAGCATGGCCAATTTTGCTGACAATTGTTTGAGCATGAGGTCAGGATTCCTAGACCAAGCTTCCAACAGGTTAAGAACTAGATTGACATCCCACAGTGCAGTGTATCGAGATTGGGGTGAACGTTCAAATCTAATGCCTCGCAGGAGGCGACTAACCATACAGGAAACCATCTAGTCCGCTGTGACTTGCCTAGATTGCTGATCTATATACATTTATCGCTCGCGGAATAGGCCAAGCCTTGGTCGTAAAGGTCTATAAGGAAACTCAGCAGATTGTTTACAGAAGCACGAATGGGATCCACGTTTTGTTCCATGCACCAACTACTCCATGTGTTCCAGGCATGATTATAGGATCTTCGTGTTCCCGGAGCCCAAGCTCCCACCAATAAGTCAAGGGTTGCTTGCAAAACTTTCAGCATGATCCACGGTCCCTGGATAGGAGCCATGCCAGAAGTCTTAAGTGCCCTTGAACAACTGCGCCCTCGGTTAACCATGTTAATGATTTTGGCACTAGGTCCCAGTACATTCAAAATCTTGTCTTGCAGGGCTGCAGGGAATAGTCTCGTCATTTGGCCTTCCAACCGGATTTACCTAGGAATTGGGTGACCTTTGGGTCCACGTCCGGTGTGACAAAGCCCAAATCAGGGACTGTAAGGCGTGGGCATTCTGCCTTAAGTTTATACACGTGGTCACTGGGGTACCATTCCGCTGACCTAGGATATTGCAGGGCATCAGGATCAAAAAGGGGTTCCCCTTGTGGGTCAATGGTAGCAGAGCCTTCTGCCTCTAGGTTAGCTTTCATTATTGGCATCGCAGTCAAGATGCGTTCAGGAGATGAATTCTCTGAGTCAATAGGGTCGATCACTTCCGCCGTCCTTAAGGGGTTAAATGAACAAGAAATATCATAAACTACATAAACTGTGTAGAGCAAAAAATTGTGTGGTACTTAGCTGAGGCAGCAGCAAAGAAAGAGGAGTGGCTTAGGGTCACATGGAAGTATATGGAATATTTTTATATGGAGTATTTTTTTTTTCTAGTAATATCTTAATATCCTTTCTTTGCTGCTGAGGAATAAAGAAAGAGATATAGTCTAATATGAGCCTCCGTGTCCTTTAATAAAATTATAATTATCTTCTATTGTTTGCATTGGTCTCTCCCATTTCTCAGTCACCAATGGGAGTAAAGCTTTTCATTTGATTATTTTATCCAGCCAGTCCCCCACTATAATGAGTGTCTGTACATGTGCTCTGCAGGTGTTGCATTAAAACCATATACATAAACCACATAGAAGTATATTTATAATAATAAACACACCGAGACAGATATGTGGAAGACAAGGCTGTAGTCTTTTATTTAGTTTATAAACACACTGTAATAACTTCTAACAGAAAATCTCCGGTCTCAAAACCACCCAGAGATAAAATTTATGACTCACCATAGTTTTGCCCTAAATAGCCAGAACTTAAACATATAAAAAAACAATACCACATAGTCCACCCCCCCCCCCAATTGAATAGGCAGGTGGCCTTTACCCAAATAAAAGACCACGACAAAAATAAAAAATAGGGAAGGTGGTGTGACAGATTCATCTGTATTGCTGGTTCGTCTGTTACCCTTTGTTTTCGCTGGATTTCCTGTCCGTATGCCCCTGTTCGTGTGATTATAAAATACCGATTGAAACTACCGAACGAACGACCACCCAGGAGAGGAGTGTGCTGCTGGTTAACCTCTTGGCCCCAATTAGAACGTTGTGGTTAACCGCAGACACCTCTCCATTCCATTCGTACGGGTGGTCGTCGTTCGCATGCCGATTTTGGGACACGAGGAAGCGTAGCGGTGTTCGGTACAAATTCTATGGAACTAAAAACGGACACTTTAATCTACCGAACACCGCTGGAAGCTGCTGCCCACCTTCTATTTCGGCGAGGCGCACGAACGCCGGTCTGTTCGGGAGTTTTATACATTCGTATGGACCTTTACCCAGATAGCCGTCCCATGGAGTCATTCGTATACCGAAGGACTGGTGAAAGACTTTGACTTCATGGCGATTCGACTAGATACATCGGATCTGAGCGCTATTCGGTAGAAATATGCACTCAGATCCAGGCTGTCTGGGGATACGTTACACGAACTATATTCATTCGGTATTTCTTCAGTTATATATTTTAATGTATTTTTCTTACTGTATTTTAAAATGGCGATTGTCTCTATCCTGGGAGATAATTAGGTTTCTTCCTAATTATCTCCGGGGTAGAGAAGAAGGATTTATGGGTAAGATGGGAAGGGCTTATATTGAAGCCACTGCGATTGGCTACTGTCCAATATGTTTTACAGTCTTCCACAAGGTCCCCTCGGGGAGTGTCCACCTTGTGGAGACCTGCATAAATACCGGGCAGATCCTTATTTGACCCTCAAGACGGAGCTTGGTCTCGTTTGTGGGGGGAATTATTACTGGGACAGCACTTTCGTTATTTCTAGCTGTGGAAGGCGTTCGACTAATTTGCTGATCGGGAGTTGCCGTGTTCAGGAACTCCATTCGGGAGTTTGGCGGTCGGCTGGATAGAAACTGCATTTCTGGAGAGGGGGATTATTCACTAAACGGCGGCTTCATCTACCTGGCGGTGAGTGTCGTAACAGGTGGGGAAGCAGCTGCAACACAAATTCGCAGGCCCCCAATTGACTATTGGTCCCGCTGGCACTAAGCTGTTACCTCAGAGCAGCTGATATAGTATGTTTATTTTCCCGCTGTGACGAGACCAATCTCGCCACATTGCATTGGAGAAGCCTGGTTGCTCGCCTGCTGCCTTTAGACTATGGCCCCATGTTGAAACGCTTGATTTTCGCCTGCGAAGACACGAAAGCCGGGTCATTCGGTGCTGGCCCTATTTGAGCGGTGATACCCCAGATAGCTATGCCATGGAGCCCATTCATATAATGAAAGACTATGGGAAAGACTTTGGCTCCATGGCAATTGAACTGTATGTGTGTGCTCTGAGCGCCATTCAGTAATATTGTGCGCTCAGATCTGAGCTATCTGGGGATATGTTGAATGTACCTGTTTTGTGCAATGGCTGCACAGTTATATATTTTTATGTGTTTTATTGTCTTTTGCTGCCATGTGTTTTGGGACACATGGAGTTTTGCCTCTGTCCTTGGAGATAATTGGATTACTTCCCAATTATCTCCAGGATAGAAGACTCTGTGGAACTGGTTTTGGGCAGAAAAGCCATGCTTATTTTGGTCACAAAGCACTACGATCTATCTTTTGAACCACTGGACCAATTTTTATGATTTTGACGTATGTTTGTATTTGGAGTATGCTGATTCTGAAAATATATGTGAATGTGATGCATACTTTTCAAGTTATGAATAATGTGGAAAAATGGTATTTCTCTGCTTGTTATAATTACATTACATTACCCATTGTGTAAGGTAATTGAATCACAGGCAGAGGGGAGGATTTTGTGTGGGAGTGTCTGAGTGTATTGTATGTGTTTATTGGTTGTGTTCCAAAACCCTGTGGGTGGTACTAATGTGTATATAAGAACAATAAACCGACAGCTCTGACTGACCACTGCTTGACCCTCAACACGGAGCCTTGTCTCGTTCTTGGGGGGATTTATTGTATGCTGTTCCAGTTTGACTGCTAGGAGTGTAAACCTATTCGTATGTTTTTTCCTATTCAGCTGTTTACAGCATTCATATGCTTTTCCTGTTCGGTGGATTGGTGTTCTGCAGTAGCTGTGCCTGTGTCTCTGGAAGGGAAGATCTACTAAACGGCGGTTTAACCCTTTTGTGCCTGGGGGTGCCGTTACACCCGCCAAAAATAGTCCTCGTGGACAAGTGCTCCAATTGGAACACTGAACGCGTGGACACTTAGAATAGCAGCTGACCGCGATGACATTACTCCTGGTGTCAAAACCGATACACTTGCGACAGCACCATTAGCCCTTTAAACACCGCAGTGCACATGGTCAATTGACCATGCTCTCTCCTGTTGAATACAGAGTATGATGGCACTCTCACCATGTTAGCACTGCTAGCTGTCACTAACACTCATAATACACTCAGCATATTCAAGAACTTAGTCACTGTCACTCCCAGTATCACTCACACTCAGTGTCTGTCACTCTTACTCCCGGTATCCCTCACACTCAGTGTCTGTCACTCCCGGTATCCCTCACACACAGTGTCTGTCACTCTCACTCCCGGTATCCCTCACACTCAGTGTCTGTCACTCTCACTCCCAGTATTCCTCACACTCAGTGTCTGTCACTCCCGGTATCCCTCACACTCAGTGTCTGTCACTCTCATTCCCGGTATCCCTCACACTCAGTGTCTGTCACTCTCACTCCCGGTATCCCTCACACTCAGTGTCTGTTATTCTCACTCCCAGTATCCCTCACACTCAGTGTCTATCACTCTCACTCCCAGTATCTCTCACACTCAGTGTCTGTCACTCTCACTCGCGGTATTACTCACACTCGGTGTCTGTCACTCTCACTCCCGGTATCCCTCACAGTCAGTGTCTGTCTCTCTCACTCCCGGTATCACTTACACTCAGTGTCTGTCACTCTCACTCCTGGTATCACTCACACTCAGTGTCTCTCACTCCCGGTATCCCTCACACTCAGTGTCTGTCACTCTCACTCGCCTCACTCCCGGTATCCCTCACACTCAGTGCCTGTCACTCTCACTCGCGGTATTACTCACACTCGGTGTCTGTCACTCTCACTCCCGGTATCCCTCACACTCAGTGTTTGTCACTCCCGGTATCCCTCACACTCAATGTCTGTCTCTCTCACTCCCGGTATCACTTACACTCAATGTCTGTCTCTCTCACTCCTGGTATCCCTCACACTCAGTGTCTGTCACTCCCAGTACCCCTCACACTCAGTGTCTGTCACTCCCGGTATCCCTCACACTCGGTGTCTGTCACTCTCACTCCCGGTATCCCTCACACTCAGTGTTTGTCACTCTCACTCCCGGTATCCCTCACAGTCAGTGTCTGTCACTCCCGGTATCCCTCACACTCAATGTCTGTCTCTCTCACTCCCGGTATCACTTACACTCAATGTCTGTCTCTCTCACTCCTGGTATCCCTCACACTCAGTGTCTGTCACTCCCAGTACCTCTCACACTCGGAGTCTGTCACTCCCGGTATCCCTCACACTCAGTGTCTGTCACTCCCGGTATCCCTCACACTCAGTGTCTGTCACTCTCACTCCCGGTATCCCTCACACTCAGTGTCTGTCACTCTCACTTGCGGTATTACCCACACTCAGTGTCTGTCACTCTCACTCCTGGTATTCCTCACACTCAGTGTCTGTCACTCCCAGTACTCCTCACACTCAGTGTCTGTTACTCCCGGTATCCCTCACACTCAGTGTCTGTCACTCTCACTCCCAGTATCCCTCACACTCAGTGTCTGTCACTCTCACTCCCGGTATCCCTCACACCCGGTGTCTGTCACTCTCACTCCCGATATCCCTCACACTCAGTGTCTGTCACTCTCACTCCCGGTATCTCTCACACTCGGAGTCTGTCACTCCCGGTATCCCTCACACTCAGTGTCTGTCACTCTCACTCCCGGTATCCCTCACACTCAGTGTCTGTCACTCTCACTCGCGGTATTACCCACACTCGGTGTCTGTCACTCTCACTCGCGGTATTACCCACACTTGGTGTCGGTCACTCTCACTCGCGGTATTGTTCACACTCGGTGTCTGTCACTCTCTCTCCTAGTATCCCTCACACTCGGTGTCTGCCACTCTCACTCCCGGTATCTCTCACACTCAGTGTCTGTCACTCTCACTCCCGGTATCCCTCACACTCAGTGTCTGTCACTCCCGATATCCCTCACACTCAGTATCTGTCACTCTCACTCCCGGTATCACTCACACTCAGTGTCTGTCACTCTTACTCCCGGTATCACTCACACTTAGTGTCTGTCACTCTCACTCCCGGTATTCCTCACACCCGGTGTCTGTCACTCTCACTCCCGATATCCCTCACACTCTGTGTCTGTCACTCTCACTCCCGGTATCTCTCACACTCGGTGTCTGTCACTCCCGGTATCCCTCACACTCAGTGTCTGTCACTCTCACTCCCGGTATCCCTCACACTCAGTGTCTGTCTCTCTCACTCTCGGTATCCCTCGCACTCAGTGTCTGTCACTCCCGGTATCCCTCACACTCAGTGTCTGTCTCTCTCACTCCCGGTATCACTTACACTCAGTGTCTGTCACTTTCACTCCCGGTATCCCTCACTCTCAGTGTCTGTCACTCTCACTCCCGGTATCCCTCACACTCAGTGTCTGTCACCCTCACTCCCAGTATCCCTCACACTCAGTGTCTGTCACTCTCGGTATCCCTCACACTCAGTGTCTGTCACTCTCACTCCCGGTAACCCTCACACTCAGTGTCTGTCACTCTCACTCCCGGTATTCCTCACACTCAGTGTCTGTCACTCTCACTCCCAGTATCAGTAAAGGAGTTTAAGCATGCGTGGGATAGGCATAAGGCTATCCTAACTATAAGATAAGAAAATTGGGCAGACTAAATGGGCCGAATGGTTCTTATCTGCCGTCACATTCTATGTTTCTATCACTCACACTCAGTGTCTGTCACTCTCACTCCCGGTATCCCTCACACTCAGTGTATGTCCCCGCTCCTCCTCCCACGGTAATCCCCTCCTCCAGTGTCATCCCTCTCCCGCTCTGATCAACTCCTTACTCAGTGTCTGTCCTCCTCCTCCGGTATCCCTCACACTCCAGTGTCACTGTCACTCCTCACTCCACGGTATCCCCTCACACTTTCCCAGTGTCACAATAAAAACTCTCCCGGTATCCCTCACACTCAGTGTCTGTTACTCTCACTCCCGGTATCCCTCACACTCAGTGTCTGTCACTCTCACTCCCGGTATCACTCACACTCAGTGTCTGTCACTCTCACTCCCGGTATCACTTACACTCAATGTTTGTGCTGTTTGCAGGTTTTCATGCCTACCAGCGGATGACCGGCTGTGAGCTGAGAGATGATGGCAGTATCTGGGTATATGATCAGCACGGTTATGACGGGAAGGATTTCCTGGCTTTGGATACCGAGCGCCTGGTTTATATTCCGCTCACAGACGAAGCTCAGGTCACAGCACAGAGATGGAACAGCCCAGAAGAGAGACTGGGGGACTATCACAAGAATTACCTGGAGAATCGATGCATAGAAGAACTGAGAAAATTCCTCCAGTATGGCAAGGAGGAGCTGGACAGGAGAGGTGGGCAGGGATGGGGGAGGAGCAACAGAGGGTAGGTGGGGTTTTTTTTGCAGGAGGGGCCTTATAGTAACAATGTTTATAACAGTTTCTGTTTCCTATCAGATTGTGTTTCCATGAGTCTCAGCGCTCAGCAATGTCTGGAACTCTGCCCCCTCGTTGACTTAATCTGCCAGTGTTCGCCCCTCCCTCCTAGATTTTATTCTGTGTAATTAGCTGAGAGACTCCCACTGTCCTCAAACTAATTGCAACTAACAACTGGAGGAGCTGTCATGGAGGAGAGATTATCACACAGTAATAATAACAAAAATAATTATAATAATAATATTAATAATAATAATAAAACAATACTATTAATAATAACAAAAATAACAAAACAAATAATAATAATAAAGGCCAAAAATAATAACAATAATAACAAAATATAAATAATAACAAAGCAATGATGATACTAAAGACCAAAATATTAACAAAACAAAAATAATAATAGACAAAAATAATACTAATAAAGGCCAAAAATAAAGTGAAAAAAATCACTTAAATAAGACTTAACTTTTATGTGCATCTAGAAAGAAAAATAAAGTATAAATTATACATGAATTATATCTCAGGTTTGATTATAGTGGAAAAGTGGGAGTCCTGACATTGAGACTTGTTTATGCTGAGCCAGGTAATATCTATTACTTGGTAATGTATATAGAGGTGGCAATTTCTAAATAAATCAGATAATTATCCCTTAATAAGTAACACAAGTTATCAGAGTTTCCAGGAATCTAGGATCTGCAAACTTTTCTTTGTCTTGGGGATGACTGTTCTATACCAAACCAAATGTTTGTTTGATTATCTGCCCCTGTCCAGATTGTTTGAATGAAGGTGAATGCACGCTGAAGTAAATCACACTGACACAAGTTTCAGATGAATTAAAAACTTCGGAATATTTACTGAGGGGGGCGGCAAGCCCCTTATAAAGCACAAAATACATCATATGCAAAACATGAGAACATGAAAAGTACATTTTTTAATTGGTAAGTGCCAAGTGTCTTATCTGATGTACTTCCTCCAGGGTGTGATGTCAGCATCATCCTAAATGTAACCCTGAGACGGAGACACCATCATGTTACACAAGGTGTTTTAGACGATGGGAGGGGGTGCTCTAGCAGCCATTTTGAGTAAATAATGAGCACATGTATACTTAGTAAATATACAATTTACCTACATTAATTTCATTAATTTCTATCCATTACAGTCCCCCCTTAAAATGACTATTTACTAACATATATCTCTAGCAGCTATCTCTGTGTCTAATATCTGTCCCTAATGGCCTAACTCATCTGTCCAGCAGGCCTCGAACTCTTTTTGTGCTGCGCATAAGACCACCCCCCCTCGCTACAGACTTTTGCCTAGACGGAAGTCAGATGCTATCCCTACTATCCCTAAAATAATGTAGCCTTGGCGGGGAGGGACTGCAACGGCATAGGGTATATCATAATCCTCCTCATCTATCTCTTGATGAATTAAAGTTGGTGTGGCCTGATCTGCTGTTTTCTGTAGACATTTCTTAACACAGGGAGAACACAACAGACAATGAGAGCAAGAATAATCAAAATTACCAGGACCGCCAGACCTATTTGGGCCAGAACTCTCTGCCAACCACTCATCCACCCAAACCATCTTTCCCATGGATCTCTGACCACAGAGTTCATTTTTGTTGTTCTGAGAGACTTTCTAATTTCTCTATTGCCAGGGTCATCTTGCCATTTTGGCCTGTGTTATCTGGAATGTAGGTTCAACATGTCATGGTGTCCAGGGGTATTTTACATACTCCCCCTTTTTCCGCTAGGTTCATGTCTAGGGCCATCCTATTTTCAAAGGTCATCTGGGATGTGGCCTGTAGTTGCTCAGCCATCCCCTGAAGGGCATCTCTTGTATAATTTACAAACTGTTGTTGGTTATAATATATATAATTAATCCAATTCAGATTCTTATTGGCAGTGATGATAGGAAAAATGGATTAAAACCCCTGCGGCAACTTCATCTCTCGCTTTGAATTCATTTGGCACCCAAATGGCATCTATATAAACATGGGGGTCGAAACTGCCTTTTACAGGTTCTGAGGTGTGGGTGGGACTTGTCAAGTGAATCTTTGTGACTGTTGGATATTATGTGTATTGGCATAATAACCTTGGCTAGGGCGCATTCCCCCCACCATAAACCTTCCAACCTTGTCCTAATTTGCATATCCCCACTGTAGCGGATGGCACTGGGCTGTCCTGAAAATTACATGTGTTAACTGCATTCGTGTAAACTGCTGGTTTTATATGTGTTTAAATAAAGTGTATTCGTCTGATTGTTCGGTAGAATCATTCGAATAAACTAAGGGAATGAAACTACTGAACAATCAGACCTCCCCTGTGTGAAGTGTGCCTTCAATTACCCATTGCAACAATGTTGCGAACGGGTAATTAACAAGCTATGCAGTAGGTCCTATGTCTCGGGGTGGCCGCCATTCGGGAAACGAACACGTGGTGGTGGCCATTTTAAAACTCCCGAACAGCTGTGTTTTGCCGTTGAGTGTCTGGAACCCAAATCGGACACTCGACTAGGCGAACACCGCTGAGACCTCCACAAGCCCGGTCCATTCGGTTCCAAACTACCGAACGACCCCTCGTTCGGTAGACAGAAACAACCGAACGAGGGGATTCATGTGAACCCTACCTGATCTCTGTAGCCTTAGCCGTCCGTGTAAATTATTCCCTTGTACTGTGACCGACCGCAGGGTCCAATCGCATGGAACCCAATTCGGCTGTTCTCTCCAGCGCAGTCGGTCTTTTTAGTACCTCCATAAATTTCCCGAACCCCTGGTCCGATCTGGGTGATTTTTGGATATGTTGCTCACCCAGATCAGGGCTACCAGGGGATGTGCCATTTAAAGAGGTACCCCTAGGTTTAGGGGTACATCCAGAAACTGGGGGAATTTGGGTACAGTATAAGGGGATTATGATGCAGGCTGAGGGGAGGAGATGTGTGGGAGGTTACTATTGTCGGATTGGGTACTGTAATAATTGATGAAAGTCCTCCCTTGCATGGGAGCATGCTATATAAGGCCACTGTGGAATAAAGGTTTTCAGTTCTGCTCCTGATGCTGTGTGTCGTACAGTTATTGGGATTGCTGTTGGGATACTGTTGGATTATTTTACCTGCTGGAAACCTTGCCTGTGGACTTATAATTACTTGTTCCTGAGCCTCACTGGGATCTTAAGCGGAGATAATCTGTGGAATATTGTATCTCCGCTACATTGGTTGGCAGCGCTGGGATCCAGACTCACAGAGGAACAA